ACGCATCGAACGACCTATATATCTCGCTACATATGTGCAAGTACATTGGTAGATACACACGTATCTCCATTAACATCCTATTTCATATTACACAACTCTTGTCAATACTTACCAATCTTCACCCTCCCCCTTCCCCCACCCAACCTAGTTACAATTTTGATTATTCATCACATTCTAGAAACATCTTGATGACGTAAACAGTAACCCTAACTAATTTCTATTTGATTTTGTTTGACAATCCTAGTGTACACACACACACACAAACAAAATGATTGTATATATAAATGCGATTGTACAGCTAAGTGAATGAATTAGCCGCCGAAAGGAGGCTCTTCGTTGAACTTTATTGTTCTTATATTCTTATATGTCTGGATGGGTATTTCCCGTGAACATAGAGAAGACAGAGGTGATCAAGATACTCAATCAGCAACACTAACGAACACCAATCACCATCAACAGAAAGTCACCTCATTCCTCATACCTAGGCAGCATCATTTCATCTACAAGATGAAGATGTCAAAGCCAGGCACTATATTGGATTGAGGAAACATGACAAGCGTTCAGAAATTGGTGTGGAGATCTTTATCACTTAGCAAAAGCCACAGCTTTTGACTTTTTTAACGGTAATGTTAAGGCAGTGATTTTACATAATCTGCGAGACTTGACCGCCATGTCACTGAAGTCTTTTCAACAAGCTGAAAAATATCATCAACACCTAATTTCACTTGATCAAATGACTAGTAAGAAAAGATAAATAACAAGCAACTGTGACACATAGTGGACCAGCCAACAATCTTTTATTCAACAAATATGCAATGGGGGTGGATGGAGATGGAGTGGTCATACTCTGGGAAGACATTCAAGTGACCACACACGCCGGGCTTTGAGGAGAACTCGACTGGAAAGTGATGGGAGGAGGATGGATGAGAGAGGGTGATATGACATGGAGGAGGTCATGTGAAGATAAATTAAAGACTTGTGGAGTCATTCAAGAATGATAGCAGAAAATAAAGTACATTGGAGATGTGCTCCTGAAGCCCTGTGTTCCACTCAGAATGCAAGTAACAAATAATACTAATATAGTTACACTATATCAGCAAACTTCTTAGTCTTAAGAAGGGGGAACCTGAACTTTACAAAGTTGCTGCTGAATATTGAGAACGTAAAAGACCTAAAAACTATAGCCTCATCACTTTGGTGTGTCGTGTATCTTATTTTCCAGAAAGACACTGGCAGGAATTCTATCCCTGTGAGAATCTCAAGATGCTGGTGATCGTTTAGATTTAACTTTTTTTTTGTTGCACCAAATAAAATGTATGTCGGCATGTGCTTGAGAATAATAGCGAATTCTTAGTGGAAACATTATGAAATTAATAAAGAGTGAAGAGGTGAGAAAGTAGATTTAGGTCAAGGTAAAAGGACATATTCAAGGTAAAAATAAAACAATGAAGACCACTAAACGAAATAGCAGAGGTAATAGTACATCTTGGTATCAAAACAAAATTTACCAAGGAGCGTTTAATGTGATAACGAATTGTTTTTGAACGCATAGATGTGGTTTAAACTTTTTAATGTGTGGACACACATACACAGGGAGGACTCATCGATCTCTGCAAATAAGGGCTGGCTTCAGAGCATATTCCTAAATGGCTCCAGAAACTAATGGAATCTTCAGAACCCATTAATAAATAGTGAGAACAGGAGACCTAGCTCCTCTATTGCGAAACATATTATAGAGACAGGACATAAAATTGACTTTAACAGATCTTTTAAACCTATCTGTAAAACATGTATGGGACGTATCCTAAAGTTTGTGGAAGCCCTAGCTGGCAATTAAAAAGTTTAAACCACCTCCATGCGTTCGAAAACATTATATCAAAAAAATTGGTTGCGTATTTAAATGCCTGTTTATTGCTTTTTATCAAGTTGTAGTTAACCTTTCTCTAACATATAGTGAGAGAGAGAGATTTCGTCTTTTCTTAAATGAAAGTTTCAGGACGAAATAAATTTTTCTGTGACCTTGCGTAGTATTTCACTTTATTTTTTCACAAAAAACAGTCGAACTACTATTAAATAGTTAAAAAGCTTCACGAAGAAAAAAATCAACTATTATTATATGATGAACATCATGTTACATCAATACTAAAAATCATTTAGATCACTGACAAACATGCAATGTGTTTCCATTGTCCTAACATTGACTATTATTGTTAATTGCAGATAAAATGACATGAACATCATGTCTTGGTGAGATAATGAAGTGTTTTGAAATAATGCAGAAGACTTGTAGCTCACTTGGATGATAGTGATGAATTAGTTGTGTTCTCTGAGCTCGTTGATGGTTTAATTGAGAAGCTTTCGTCTTCCTTCTAGACAACTTCGCTTCAGCACAAGTTCTAGTATAAAATGAACTCATTTAAATTCTTCATGAGCGACGATGTAATTGTATCACCTGACAACCAATGTCGTCACTGGGTGTTAATATACGTCTCTATAGATCATTTATATTGACTTGGAATTTGAACTTTCTTGTCATGTGATTCACCTTTTATCGGCTAGTAAATTTGGTCTATACTGATGTGTTTGTTAATAGCTGATTGATTCATTTGAGTAGCAGGCTTCTAGGAATTCCTTGGCACTTTTGGTGTCCATAATTATCCACATGCATTGATACAAAAGAATATATATATAGCATGTCGTTTTACAACCAATTTGTGTTCTTGGATTTGGATTCAAAGGGAATGCCCACTTTGACCGATGTGATTAATGTATATTGCAGCTCAAACAATTTATTTTGTGAATAACATTAATTTTATCTTCTTTTTCTGTTGGATGTTTTGGTTTTCACAATATGGAATGAAGTGATTGTGCTGACTTCTGTGCTATATCCATTTGAAACAGTCTTAATATTCTAGCTGTTATTTCAGAGATATTTTTTATGTGTAGTGGGATGAATTTCCTTGTAATCTTTGATGATGGTTTCTTGCTGGTGTTGGGACTCAATTTTAAACACTTTTTGATGAAATTGTCAGGATATTCATTTTTTTTCGAAGATAATTATGGGCACCAATTTGATTAGGATGATGTAGAAACTTTAAGTAGATTAAACACCAAAAATGCAGTTAGCGAATTCCCAGAAGCCTAACATACAAGTGAATTAGCTACTAACAAACACATTATCATAGACCGAATTTACTAGCCAATAAAAAGTGAATCACACAGGACAAGAAAGTTTGAATTCCAAGTCAATAAAAACATGATCAATAGAGACATAAATTAACAACCAGTCGTGACAGTGGTTGTCAGGAGATACAATTACATCATTACTCATGGAGAATTTAAATGAGTTCATTTTATATTAAAACCTGTGCTGAAGTGATGCTGTCTAGAAGGAAGACGAAAGCTTCTCAATTAAACCATTAACCAGCTCAGAGAACACATTTGATTCGATAATGAAAGTGTGAAGTTCGACTTATTGTAGTTAAAGTGAGGATGCATAGTCCTATTCGTTTTGATTCTTCGACAGCGTTGACCGCGAAGTAATTTGGAAACTACTCGAGTACTACGGCGTACCCCAAATATTCATCAACCTTATTCAACAGCTGTACGACAACGGCACATGTCAAGTGATCCACAACGGAAAACTCAGCGAGGCGTTTCGAGTAAACACAGGAGTCAAACAAGGGTGCTTATTATCACCAATGATATTCCTAATTGTGGTGGACTGGATTATGCGTCAGACAGTGGGAAACGAGAAGACAGGGATATCCTGGACCGACGTGAAGAACCTAGAAGACCTGGATTTCGCGCGTGGATGATTTATGTTTGATGTCACACAAAATCGAAGACTTACAAGCGAAAACCGACAAACTGGTCGAAGAAGCAGCCGGTGAAGACAGGACTCCAGGTGAACATAGACAAGACGGAGGTTATGAAAATAACCAACTAACAACAACAACAACAGCAACATCCAGCGCCAATCACCATCAACGGGAGGGATTTGAAAGAGGTTACTTCATTCACTTATCTAGAGGGAGCATTGTCTCAACTACAGGAGGAACGGACGAGGATGTCAAATCGAGAATCGGGAAGGCGAGAAACACATTCATCAACCTGAAACCAATCTGGAAATCTTCGTCACTCAGCATCAACAACAAAATTCGGATTTTCAATACAAACGTCAAGTCAGTCAGTTCTTCTATACGGATGGATCAGAAACTTGGCGAGTCACAAAGAATATTTCCAACAGCCTGTTGCAGACCTTTATCAACAACAACTGTCTTCGCTCTATACTCAAGATCAGATGGCCGGAAAGAATCACCAACAAGAAACTATGGGAAAAAACAAAACAAGAACCAATCGCTCAACAAATATGCAGGAGAAAGTGGAGATGGATTGGACACTCGCTGAGGAGGCCGCTGGGTGACATCGCGCGTCAGGCCAGTGCTCGAGTGGAACCCGAAAGGGAAGCGGTGGCGAGTGGGACGTCCAAGGGTGACATGGAGGAGATCGTGTGAAGAGGAGTTGAAACAGTATGGACTAACATGGATGCAGGTGAAAAGTACAGCAGAAGAGAGAAGCAAGTGGAGACGTGTAGTTGAAGCCCTATGTTCCACTAGGAACCCAAGGGAACAATAATAATAATAGGGAGTAGAGGCGATTTCATCATTTGTGTCCAGCTGCCATGAAACCTGTTAATCCTACTACTATTACTACGACTCTTACTTCATAACCGTGATGTATTCCCTAGGAACACAACAGCAACTAACTCGTAGCTAGGGAAAAATATACTGTTGCATTTATGTTTCTCTCGTCCTCATTTAAACCAGCACTTTATCCTATTTCCTACATTTTGCAAGGTATCGTTTTAAGTTATATCATCCAATTTGTTTCTATCAGCTTATCTCTATTATTATTATTATTATTATTATTATTATCATAATCACAGGATCAGAGATGAGACTCATTTTTAGTTTTTATGACTTTCTTATCTGTTTTAGCTGTTTATTCGTAAATCTCATTTGTTCGTCAGACTGGGTACCATTGAAGTTAGTCGTTTTAGTTGGCACGCATCACGCTCTGTAACTATGGGACCATATACTTCAGAGGTGATTTCTCAGGCAGCAGCCTCTGCTGCAGCCAGTATGACATCTGTCATGTTCAATGCAGTTTTTCGTCGAAATATGGAGAAATCACTTCGTTCGCATAACTCGTCTGGTGTTGGTTCACCTTTTGACAGTCTACCTCCTCCTTTCGATCACCAGTGTTCTGATTGGATGCAATATGGTAGTAATATTTCGTGGAATGAGTCAAGTAAACTATGCGACTACACACATCTGCATTCATTTTCATATGATTTTCATTTGCACGCAATTCAAGATTATTTAGGAAGTAAGTTCTTGTTGCTGTTGTTGGTGTTGTTGTTCTGCTTCTTCTTTTTTGCACACTGACAATTAATAAACTGTGCATTACTATTGCGTTCTATTTCTTTATCGTGTTTTCACCTAACTAATAAGTAACCCTAAATTAGACTTCTCGTTTTACAACTGTCCTGTTAATCTGTAGTTTTTTACATCAAAATATTTACCAATCAAGTGGTTATTTTAGTTAATCAATTTTAGGCATAGGGAGGGGGTCTGAAATTAAGAGGTTACAGGTCACCAAAACAATTAACTAACAGATTGGTTACAGGATGTCATCATCAGCTGGAAAACTAACAGGGAGTAATAAACAGCTGTTTCGGCCTAGTTTGGGGCTCTTCATTGGTACGCATCCACAGCCACGGTTCGAACCCAGAACCTTCTGGATCGGGTCCCAGTGGCTTAATGGTCTACGAGCTCGCCTTGTAACCAGAAGGTCCTGTGTTCGAACCCTGGCTGAGGGTGCGTACCGACGATGAGTCCCAAACTAGGACGAAACGTCTGCCCAGTACTTTCAGTTAGTTTTCCAATGGTTCTCTAACCGATGTCAGCTTATGGTGAAATCATGTAACTAATCAATGAAATTCCTACAAACCAATACTTGAAAATAACCAATAGATGTTAATAACAAGATACCCAAGTTTCAAAGGAGGGTTGAAAATTCATTGGGGAATTCAAGATAAGCTGATTCTTAGGCGTTAGCAACAAATTATTACATGGTCAAGAAATCTGTGTAATAATGATGACTAAGAAGAACAGGATAACTCAGTAGAATTACGTAAAATACGAACAAGTTGATAGAATTAGCTAGAACTGTAAACTTAGTAAAGTAATAAGTATCCTGGGGAATCAACTCACCAATGATCTTGTAACACACATTCAGAGTAAGTTAGTGAAACCAGGTGAAATGAAACTATAATTCGTGGAAAATGATGGAAGTAGTGTGAGTAAATCAAACAGAATATCTGGTTAGTTTAGGGAAAGAATAAAATTAGGGTTGAGTAAAAGACCCGAATTTACGTTGTGAAATCGACAGATTGTTTCAAAGTCTTGGTGCCTTCGCTCTCTTGGATCTGTATTCCTTAAGCTCTGCCGACAAGGTCTCTGACGAAATCTCAGCACGAATACAGAGGGCTAGTTTTGCATATGCCAGTTTACGCCGTCTCTGGCGTAGACGTGATATCCGACTATCGACCAAAGGGCGTGTGTACTGCTCAACAGTCCGCTCCGTCCTTCTTTATGGCTGTCAAACCTGGCCATTGAGAGCGGAAGACATGAAAAGATTAGCTGTCTTTGATCATAGGTGTCTGCGTTCTATCTACCGCGTGAAGTGGTATGATAAGGTGAGCAATATTGAGGTTAGGCGTCGAGTGCTAGGTAAGGCGGGGAAATCAGTCGACGAGACTGTGAAATTACATCGACTGAGATGGTTAGGACATGTGCTACGTATACCTAGTCATCGCCTTCCTCGACGGGCAATGTTAGCTGATATAGGGTCAGGCTGGAAAAGAGCTAGCGGCGGTCAAACGAAAACATGGTACCAGTCAATTAAATCTACAACAGTTAGTCTAAGCCACGTAGGAAGGTGTAGACTTCCTGGTTTGGGTCCTCGGGACGGTGAAAACCAATGGTTGGAAACAATTGGTGACATGACTCAATCGTTCTCAATGGCTGGCGTAGATGCATCCATTCCTTGTGACTTATGATTTCCAATTAAATTGTTTTGTTCTTCGTTATTACTACACCTTTGTCTTACACCTCTCTTTACTGTCTCTATTATGTATTTCTTCTACTTTCTTCTCTTCCTTTGTGTGCTCCATGGAGTGTGGCGACTTGAACTACCGCACATATGTGCAAAGTTCTATGTCGAAAGCCGACCGACCAACCGGCAAGGTCTTATTTGGGTTTACTCTTAGTTCTTTTGGACCTAATAATCACTAAGTGAATATCATTCATACGGAGTCGTAAGCCAGGTATAATTTGATGAATTTCACTTCTACATGCTTATTTTCTTACTAGGTTGACACAGTGATGAATAAGTAGCTTAGCCTAGTTGCAAACTAGCTTGGAAAAATAGCAAATGAAGTGGATTTCAAATATCAAATATGGTTGAGAGTTCATTAGTAGTAAGAAAAAGTAACAAAACTAATTCACATAGAAAATAAATATTCGATGACCATTTCAAAACATACGTTTTATGTGGTCAAAACGAGTAGAGAAATCAACTGAACTCTCGTGGTCGAGATAATACTGCTCAAATCGATGACCAGACAGTCAATTCACAAGTTAAGAAAAAGTAAATTAAAGCAAAACTTGTCTGCAAACCTATCGAGATGAAAAATGTCAACTAACAAACCCTTTGTAGTCCAACCTATCAAGAGTTACCTGAATATAAATACGCTTGAGGAATATATGCGAGATTTATTCACTTGTAGTGAAGATCACTGAGTGAACATGATATGTAGACTGATGTCGAATTTTCTGTAAATGCTGAGCTAATTGTATTGTGTTATGCGTGTAGTGTAGGCTTTTTAACCACTCTAATCAACCTACTACCAATTTGCATTTTAGGTAAATTTACCTTTTTTTGCTGCAAAGTGTCGTAAATGTTTTCAAAGAAAACTCTGAAACACTCATTTTTTCTGCATTGCTATGCATATACACCTCATTTAGCTTCTTCCTATAAATAGCATGTATTCTACTAAATTAGATCGGGGGTGTTATGTGTTCTCCGCTGACTTATTTATGCAGATTGTCTGGCAATCAGCGCAGTTGTGTGTAGGCAGTCTGTAGTGTTGGTCGAGTTGTATCGACCAGTTAACTGATACTATGCAGTTGCACACTATGTTGTACTGTAATTTGGACCTTGCAAATCAATATGGTGCTCTGTTGACTCCTCTTAATTTCTAAAATATATTAAATCACTTAAGTTATTAAGATGATTCACTTGATCGTTTATCTTTATGTGTTTTTTATTATTACACTTTTTTGAATATGGCTTATTATAACTTATTGTTAGCAGCACTAACAGTTTTTTTTCTGCGAAAATAAACACCCCGTATGTTCACTTGCTCTCTGTTATTTCACTATCGCTTTCCCCTTTCCCTTAAAATTAACCTAGATCGTCGATGTTGTCATCGTGACCAGTGTTCTGATGCATCGCGTAGATCAGCCAGTGCAACTGGAAGAGGATATGCAAATGTAATCGATATACCTGATTATCCTGTGACAAAATTTTTGGAAGATTTATCTTGTCTTGCTCAAAAATTACCACTTTTCTCTCGAGGCTATCTGTGCTGTTTTCCTGTTACATGTCATGTTAGTTTGTGTCTACGACCGGATCAAGTATTTCACCATTTAATAGAAGAGCATGCCTGTTATGGTGTAGACGTAAGTCGATACTGTATTCCTCTAGCTTTGTATAAATTCAAATATTTTTTTACTCTGATGATTTATAACTTCAACACTATAAACCGTGTCAACTTCACAAAGATTCAAGTTGCTAACAGTCAGGTGTGACTAAACCGATCTGAACATGAATTCGTTAAGCCTGTGTCTGCTAGCTTGATCATCCGCCTACTGACTGACCGGTTTCAACGTAGAACTTCTTTACCCTGATGTGCAGCAGTTCGAGTCTCCACACTTCATTTAGCATACAAATCAAGCGAAAAAAATAAAAAAAGAGAGATTCAAAACAGAGATTGATACTCAGGAGGGCTTCGTGTGCTTTTGGAAGTGTGTGGGCGGTTGTTACTTCCCGGCTGCCCACACCGTGCAAGTTGATTTTTTCTTGGCATACCTGAGACAGAAACAGGATTGGTTGATGTTGCGTAACCGCAGAGTCTAGGGGACAACTGCTTGAGGCCGGTTACACTTGACCTGTCTGAACTGGCGTTTTGGTTTGGCTCCTGCTACAGACCACCGTAGGGTAAGTCGGGGTGTACAACTTTTCGGGTCAATCTTTTCTAACCCCCTCTCTCCAGAGTGGAGAGACAGTATAGCTGGCATGCTGGTCATCTGAAGGAAACACCTTACTGCTGTTACATCCTTGTTCCCCAGCAGTACGGCTTTTCCCACAGACCTCCAGCATATTATGAAAAAATCTTACACTATACAGGTTACTGCTTTCAGTCTAATCGCTATCCTAACAACCTTCCTGGCATGGTAGGACCTGCATGAACAGCCAGTGTAGCTTGTTGGGTCATTACAATACGCAAGCCTGACCACCACGTCAAGGTAGCAGCTATCGGTTGGGATGGTTTATATTGCGTGGGTGTATCCCTCTAGATATTAGGAATCATCGGGTTACAGCCTTTCATAACGACAATGGTGTATTCATATTCTGTTTTCCTTGTAGCTAAATATTTTCAACGGTCGTCGTAAACTTTAGTTTTCAAAGAAGCCAGATAGTCGTTCGTTTACTGTAAAACTCGATAGGTAAAATCTTCTAAGATTAGCTTACTAGCTGTCTCGCCACTCTCCTAATATCCGTTTAAACACGATAATTTCGTTTGAAAGTGGGTGTAGCCAACTTGTTTTCCTCCTACAAGACAACAAGTAAACTGAAAGGTTCAAAGTAGATATTTTTGACTTTGATTACGACAAAACTGGGCAAATCATTAACAATGCTCCAATGCTTCACGACACATCATTGTGACGGATGTTTTCTTTCTTTTTTTCTGAAGACTTTACTTTTGGTTAAGTTCGATTGTCTTTTAATTACATGCTGTTGGTTTATGTAATCTCTTTTATAGAGTGGTATTTTAATGATAAAAGTATATACAAACATACATATATACACATTACATATCATTTATATTTATCAGTGTATGATAGTTGCGTATTTGTTTGAATGTTTATGAATCAACAAATGTGCTAAATTTATTCTTCCCTCATTTTTGGTCTACAGATTCTACGCATGAGTAGAAGTGAAGGCGGTATCGCTCAAACAAATCAAATATATAACAAACATCTATCATATAATTTTGCTTTAGTTGAACAATGTCATCCTGAGCAAGAATCTTCGTGTTCCAGTTCACGTTCATCCAATTCAGATCATCAATCAAAACATCAACCATGTTCCAATTTAAGGACATCTTCTGAGTCACATTCCACTTCATGTAATCATTCAGCCCTAGGAATAGCAAATACACATCAAATCGTAGAGGATCTAGCCAAACTCGATAGAGAGTCTTCCAGTCTACACTCATTACCACAACCTTATTCAGTAACAGGGATTGTTGTTCCCGATGAAATCAATGGAACTTATTCTGACATCAGATCACCGGTTGATGGATCTATCACAAATAGACTTCTTCACTTAACTGTATATTTAATTATTTTAGACTCGAAACATGAATTCCCTGAGTCAAGGCTTGCTAAATTGAATTCAGGTTCCTGTACTCAAGTGAGTGTTTTCCTGAATAGTATACATTAGAGATATGATTTCACTCTGTTTGCAATTAAAATTAAAACCTCATATTATCTTTCCTTCTATGTTTTCAGGCTATTCTTCCTTGTTTGTATCCTCTCCTTTAGGTGGATGATAGCTCTCTATATGTGTCAGATAATTCTATGAAAATGTCGCCACCTACACGGTATAACTCTTTAAGACTACGAATAACTAGAATCCCTTCAGTATTATTAGTTTGTAAGTAATCGGGATAAAATAGACGTTAAGAAAACTTAATTGTCGCGAAGCTCTTGACGTTTGTTCCTCACTTGTCAGCATACCTTAGCAAGGTGTATCTAGTGCCTTTTAGAAGAACTCACGTTCCCTACGAGGTTCGGACCTATTTCAGTTATATCTATGAAGTCAGCGACTTTACCACTGAACTCCTGTTACTATCGATGTGTGACCTTAGAAATAAAACTCCTATTGTGGATGACATTTTTAGAGGTGCCTAAATCAGGAGGTCATTGCTTTCTAAGTGAAACTGTCCAACCAAGACTATCATATAGGTGTCAAAGCCATTAAATTCTGTAGCTATCCAGTCTTCATTTAATATTTTGCCGTAGTTACATATTGTTTTTTTGTTTTTGTTTTAAATTTTCAAGTGCCCAGTTGATTGGCCTGCTGTTCGTCCATGTTTGGATCCTTTTTTATTTTCTTATCAATCATCCTCATGTTACCGAAGTCTCCGATCTTTTGCCAGTGAAGATGTGGATGTATCAAGCTATTCAGTGGACAGACATTACCAAAATCTTCCACCGACATATTTTGGTGACTACAGAAAATTTTTAAAGCATTCTAAAAATACTCCTGATAGCGATGTACGCTGGCATATGTCTTATTTAAGCATGTGTCCGTCACATCAAGTTCAACTGCATCGTGTACTTCGAATTTCTCAGTCGAATCTAGAATCTCGTATTACACAGTTGATTGCTCGTTCCGGTGTAGACTGCCATAAAAATCTACTATGGTACAAACTTTTCGATACTAATTCTACGCTAGCTACACAAATCCTTTCAACAAACGGCCAGTCTTTGCTCCACAATATTGTAGAGTCTGATTTCCAGACTGAAAGTACACCGTCAATCACTTTAGGCGCTAACTCAAATCCAATGGATAATTATGTGTGTCCTGTTCTTAATCATCGAAGTCTGTCTATGCGAGAGATCGAAGTAAGCGTTATTTCTTTTTTTTCGCTTCATTGAGCGCCGTAACTTTCGTATTCAGCATTTGTGTTGTTTTTTACCTTCCGCTGCGATAAAGCTCGTGAATAACTTGCAGAGTTACTTTGTTTCTTACTTCTAATTTATGTGTGTACATGGTTATGCAAATAGGATACACCTGATAAATGAAGTAACTCTACTGCCTATGAATGACATTCAATTTAATCCTCACCCAGAAAGGAAAGAATCAGTTTCCTGGTATGTAGTTCAATTTGATCGTCTTCGCCCTATGGATTACGGAACTAAGTAATTTTGGTACATTACTGAAATTACAGTATTGATAATAATAGTTCAGCATCAACACACATTTTAATGTACTAAACTGTACTAAACAGGCTAGTGTGGCCTCCTGCCTCCTTGTCATTACACGTTTGTGTGTGTGTGTAAAGATAGTAACCGACATACTGTATACATAGCATATAGTTTGGTTGCTACTCCATACTCAGATTCTTTTTCATCCGTTTACTTTCCGAAGGGAGACATACGGTTGAGTGCTCTTAAGTTTCAATAGTGGTAGTATTCTTTTTGAAGGGTTAGGTTGCTAGCCCCACGCCAAACCTTCCCTCGCCTCCAGGCTTACTATCGGCCTGTGAACTAGACAAAGGTTAGGAATATCTCGAGTGACAATCGAACCTGGACCACCTGCGTGGTGGCTGGCAAGTGTTCACCGACGCTTTTACATGCCTTAGAATTCGCTATTATCACTTGACTGTAGCCTACTTCAACATGCTTCTAATGAGTTGCGCATAAGTGAAGCTTCGCTTCTCTTTACATTCACAGTACTCACTCAGTATACTTTTCCTGTGGTAGTTATAAATAATGCTAAGCTGCCAAAATGTGAGTAGGTGAAGCTACACTTCAACTTTTAAATTACTGAACACTAACTCACCTCTCTATCTCAACTTCATCGACTTTGAAAAGGCCTTCGACAGCGTCGATCGAAAGGTGCTTTGGAAAGTACTTCGCTACTACGGGGTGCCACCGACAATTATACATCTCATCCAACAGCTGTACGACAATGCTGCATGCCAAGTAATCCACAACGGGAAACTTACGGAATCCTTCGAAGTGAGGACAGGAGTAAGACAAGGCTGCCTACTATCGCCAATGATTTTCCTGATTGCAGTAGACTGGATAATGCGACAAACAGCGGGCAATGATGAAACAGGCATAAAATGGACTCACACAAAAACTTGGAGGATCTGGACTTCGCCGATGATATATGTCTGATTTCCCACAAACTGGAAGATATGCAAGCGGAAAGCAACAAGTTGGTAGAAGAAGCATACAGAGAAGATAGGACTTCAGGTGAACATAGATAAAACAGACGTGGTGATGAAGATTCCTGGGCAACACCACCAACAGCAACAACAACAGACAACAATCAGCATAAATGGGAGGAACCTGAAAGAAACAACCTCTTTTACCCACCGACCTGGGAAGCATCGTTTCAACTACAGGCGGAACTGACACGGATATCAAAGCAAGAATCGGAAAAGCAAGGCAAGCTTCCATTACTCTCAAGTCTGTGTGGAGGTCAACACTCCTCAGCATGAAAATGAAAATAAGATCCGGATTTTGAACTCCAATGTGAAGTCAGTGTTACTATACGGATCAGAGACTTGCGCTGCGCGTCATAAAGAGCAACTCAAACAAACTACAGACCTTCATCAACGGCTGTCTTCGCTCAATACTACTCAAGACCAGATGGCCAGAAAAGATCAGCAACAGGGATCTCTGGGAGCGAATCAACACAGATGGATCCGATTATGCAACAAATAGGCGGGAAGAAATGGAGGTGGATTGGCCATACTCTGAGGAAACCATCAAGTGACATCTCTAGACAAGCCATTGCTCGAGTGTAACCCGAAAGGGAAGCGGCAAGTTGGTCATCTCTGCCAGGGCGACTTGGAGGAGGTCATGTGAAGAGGAGATGAAAGCATGTGGGCAGACTTGGAGCCAGGTGAAGACTCTAGCAGAGAAGCGAACGCAATGGAGACGCACGGCTGAAGCCCTAAGTTCCTCTAGGAATTAAAGGAAACAATAATAACTTCAATCATTGAAGCATATTTCAGTTCTTTTTCTTTGTGTCTGTTAGTACATGAGTAGCACGTTGCAGTTGTACAGGTTTGTGCCTTGAATGATTCGATTCCATCTAGTATGGTTTCACTGGTCTATATCTTTGAAGAATGACTACTGAAATAGGATAAAAGAGGCCCTCCATACTCTGCTTTCCAATTGGTCTTGAAGCCATGAAGAAACCGTGAAGAAATCTACCTTGGAAGTTGTTTGCTACTGGGTCTATTTTCAAAAGTTCTGGAAACATTGTGTACAACAGCATGGAGTTGCTTAACTTTACGGTCGTGTTACTTCTCATACATTTGCACATTTTTAACTACACTATGAATAGTGATGGTCAGTTTTTATTTGCAACTTTTTTACAGCTAAATCAGCAGTTCCTACTCTGTTTATCTTACGTGCAACTGCTTTATTTCTTTCTTTCTTTTTTCCCACATAATTTAAGGATCTTGTAGATTCTGCGCCTTTTCAACTGGATATCTTACGTTTAGATCCACGTTTGCTTGAACTATTTGAAATTGGTGCTTGTCATCTAAATACTGTCAGTTCGTTGTTAAACAGAGAATTTGTTGACTCCCAACAGAATAATCACCACCACCATCATCATCATCATCAAACTGAACAGGTGAAATTGGATTCCGATAAAAAATTGTATAAATATTCTACATCTGAAACCATAGCATGCATCGCTTATCGATTTAGTCATTCAGTTGAGGACAAGCCAAGTGATGCAGGTGAATCTCATAACAGTAGAAAAAATTACATGGTTTTATTGTCACCATCGTTCACTGAAGGTCTTATATTCCTTAGTTGGTGTGAAGAAATTGGCGAATATTCTTCCGGTGATAATGCTTCTGTTGTTTATGCGTCCCAGGAAGCCTCTACCAGCACAAGAAGTCGTTGTATTGATGCTGCTGCACAGAAAACAAAGACAACAGCAGCAGCAAACAAATACAAAGTAAGTGTATTTGGCAAAAATTGGAAGTAGAATTGAATAACTATGCGGAAATTGTTGACTTGAATTGCTTTTATTAAATGTTGACAATAGATAATAGATAAGCTAAATTAAATTATAGTGTAACAGTAGAAGGCAAAACACGGAAGCCAAGGTATATATTTTCAAGTGATCAAACAGCTATTTATACATATATACAGTTTTATATTATTTATCCAATCACTGAGCGTGTGATTTTGGTTTACATTTGACAACGTTTAATAGAATGTTCAAATACATATAGCAATCTGTTATTAATGCAGTATTAAACTGTGGGATTGTGTGAGAACAATATTCCGTTGAAACACATCGCCTGTATCACACCACCACAATAGTACTTCCTGGTATTCAGTGTTTCTCTAACTGACATCGATCCGTGATCAAACTTGCGGCAATCCAACTCTCGAAAATAATCTGACTACAGGACGAAGTCGCCTGAAGATCTAGGGAGAATTCGTGAACATTGGGTTCCCTCACCAGGTCGAGTGTGAGGATAAATACTCGCCAAAGACACTGACTGGTGATCGCGCTAAAAACGACCAATTAGTAGGAGTTAGAATTCATGGGCCACTGGATGGTCAACGAACTTGGTCTCGTGAACTTAAGGTCCTGGGCTTGATCCCCTCTATGGAGTCATGAGTGCATTACTGATGAGGAGGGCCAAACTAGGACTAAACAAGCTCGCCAGTACTCCCTGGTTTTTAATGGTTCTCTTACTTACATCAATCCTTGACTAAACTTTTAAAGTAGTTAGAACTATGAGGACAACAAATTACACACTGCCACTGTGTTTGGTGAGATGTAATGTGGTTTTGTTGCGTAATCACTCAATTCTTTTTACTAATAACTTTGGAGCGTCGGTGGCATAGTGGTTAGGACGCTCGCCGACCATGCATATGGTCCGGGGTTCGATCCCCGGCCGACGCACTCCTTTACCTCGCTAAGCCAGAAATAATGGTGGTGAAGAGGAAAGGTTGAGCATGAGGCTAGCAATCCCATCCTGTAAAATAAGCACTGCTACAGAAACTTCAAGCCACTAGCTTGAAGCCCTATGTTCCACTGGGGAAGGTGAAGGAAAAAAACAACTTTGGAAATGTGTCCCACACTATAGGCAGATTTTGTTGCTTATGCCTGAATATTTTTTTTGTCATCACAAAACCCATCAGTTTGTGTTCACTCTTAATACTGAGACCTATAAAGCAATCATAGTAGTGAAAGAATTAGGGCGTCGTATGCTGCTGACATTTTCTATGACTACATCAGTTGTTATTACCCTGACATGTTCCTTTTCTACTTTTGTGTACTTTAAAGAGTGGTAACTGAAACCAATCCACCTGTGTCTTAAGGCGATTTAAGCGAATATTTAGTATTGTAGAGTTGGGTTTTATTCATACTGATATGATAAGCACTTTTGAGAAGTTTTATGTTTCTGTAGACAACCTCAGTGTATAATTTATGTATGGAAAGGTTTCTAACGTATGGCGGATGTACTGTTTTTCCACCAATTGTTAGTAGTAATTGTGAACAGTTTTTACATTAACATGACCGATTACCTTTTCTCCGAGGTAGTAATTACACATATGGCTCACTAAAAATCTGTCCCTTCATTAGGGTACGTAGGTTCTTATTGATAGAATTTGAGTCAATAATTTGATAATTCTTATTGTGACATTAAGAACATAATATTCACCGATAAGACTAGTTTTGACAGAATTATTATCAAGCTGTACAATTGCATAGATGTGTTTTTTTTAAAGCAGTTATATCCCATGAAGAAATTTAAACAAGGGTGGCACAGCGGTTACGACGCTCGCCGACAATGCACATAGTCTGAGGGTTTGATCCCCAGCCGACGCATTCCTTTACCTCGCTAAGCCAGAACAAAGCTGGTAAAGCCTCTAGCTTGAAGCCCTATGTTCCACTGGGAAGGTGAAGGAATAAAATAAAATATGAAGTGCAACTGAAATGTTTCTCATTATAATCATATCAAGGGTAAAATAAATAATGTCACACATAGAATAGTTCATATAATGTACAGTTGTTTGAAAGGGATATACAATTGCAGGATTCATAGGAGATTAGAGAAACATTACGTAACATCATTTGAAGTTCGATAAAATAGAATTAACACTGGAAACAATTTGTCGATGTAAATAAAATTTTAAAAAATGGGACTAATGAAATAATACCGGAAACAGCTGATATTGAGAATAACAATAATCGTAGTAAATACATTAGTTAAATAAATAAATGTTTATCCCTCTATACGGCCGAGTTAGAAATAGAAACTGTACATACTTTTGTATTCAAAGGTCTGACTTGAATTCATGGTCAGGTTGGTAGAGAGTGACAGAAATCGATTAAGTGTTCTAGAAATGAGCTTTACACACTCCTCTTTCCCTTTTTGTAAAATCATGCAGAAATATGTTCTCGTATCCGTAATGAAAGTATTCTCTGGCTACGGCCAATTTACCTTGGTCTAGAAGATCAGGTGAACTGATAGAAATGCACATGGAGGCGGCCAGATGAGGTAGTTTATCTTCTACGGTTGATGAAGGTCATTGGGTGTCTGGCAGCAAAGTGTTTGAGTCAACAACAGCAAGTTCAGTATGTCACTGAAACAAAAACCAAAAGGATAAAAACAGGATAGATAGAGAAATATTAAAACTCCCTTGATTATAATGTTTACGTGGTTTCTAATCATTCATCGTCTTTCGGTGAATTAAACACACCTTTCAATAGGATAAGGAGGGTTTTGATGTGGTTGTGTTCTCAGAGCTAGATAGTTTATTTGCGAAGCGTTCATTGCCCTACTAGGCAACATCTTCAGTGCATACTCCACTTCAAATTGAAGTATACACTGAAGATGTTGCCTAGTAGGACAGTGAACGATTCGCAAATAAACTGTCTAGCTCAGAGGAAACAATCACATCTAAATCATCCTCCACCTGAGCTACAAATCTTCTCCATCATTATCTAGGATAAGTGTATTTGGCTACTTTGAAATAAATAAAAAGGATTTCTAGAAGTTATCATCTCTTTTTTGTCTTTTCTCTTTTTTAGGATTTTCAATTCCGAGCAGTATTTCGTGCTGTCGGTGATCCAACAAATCCATCATCAATGCGTCGACTCATCGACTCGGGGATTGAAATACAAAATTTATTTTTCAAGACATCTACATTAGCTCTAGTAGCCACTAATTTTATAGAAAAACTTAGTTTTTTAGTTTGGAAAACATTGCACAATTGATAAATCTCATTTTTTTTTATTATTATTAAAAAGAAATTCAATTTCGCTTTGCCTTGTTTTTTGCGCCTATGCACTTGTTTTGTGTGACTCACTTTTTCTAAATCATCCTTTGGTTATTGAGTTTTAACATTTTTTATACATGAAACTGACCATCCACAATCCGAAGATTATATTGGCGAACCATTTTTACAATTCACCTTTTTCTCCATGTCTTTCCACGATTATTTACAATGATAAAAACAGATGTATACAATTACAATTGTGTATTTTATTAGTCTTGCCAATGTTGATATTCTTGTTGCGATAGGATGGGAGGTGGTAAACAAAACAAAACAACCGACAACTGATAGTGTTTTTTTTACTCGGTGCTTATTGGAATTGCAGTCGTGTATGCGTTAAACGGATAACTGAGTAGTAGAGCTGTACAAACCACTGTGTGATTAACTGTGATCAAGTCACTTTCAGCTTTGCGGTCAGTCAAGATTACTTATACGCTGTCATTTAAGTCGAATTTTGCGGTATTTGGAGCAAGATCTACTAAATATATAAAGTGAATCAGTCGATGAGTCAATTAAACTGGCCCAGACATATACCTGATGCATACCAGACTATCTTTTATCCTCAACTATGGCTTGTTAACTGAAGTATCCTTAAGGGGATTGTTAAAACTGCTTGGTGACCTTCTTCCTTTTATTCCTTTACGTTCCCAGTGGAACATAGAGCTTCAAGCTAGAGACTTGAAGTTTCGGTAGCAGTGGTACTTATTTGCACGGGACGAAGTTGCTAGCCTCATGCTCAACCTTCTCTCTTTACCAGTCTTATTACTGGCTTAGCGAGGTACAGGAGTGAGTCGGCCGGGGATCGAATCCCGGACTAAATGCGTGGCCATATTAGTTTGTTTATTTGATATATCACACAGTGAAACAGTATTATTTACTGGATGACGTTTCGAACAAAATTTATTGTTCATAATCATATCAATTATAATCACACGACTTTGACACTTGAGTTTTATAGTTTTCTTTGTTCTCTCCTATTTGTTGTTTGGGTAGTAGAATTTTCCAGATATCGGGGACAGGTGATGAGTCATTCCTATTACATGTATTTGTAGTTGATTCGATAAACAAAGCTTCTGTTATCAATCTCTCCCTATACCCTGTGACATTAGATTTTAAAACTGTCATCCTATCCCATCCTATTGTGTGGTTGTGTGTAACTGCATGTAGTGCTATAGCTGAAGTATTCTCCAGATTTCTTATCTTATTCGGGTCAACCAATCGAGATTTTGCTAGGTTTTTGTGTTCAGCTAGTCTGACTGCCCCTGTTCTACTATTTTGACCTATGTATTTGACCTGACAATCATTACAGGGTATGAGATAAACTAAATTGTTTTGTTTTAAAGGCTCTACAGGATCCTTTAACCGACAAAGCTTGTTTCTAATTGAGTTTGTGGGTTTGAATGCCATTTTTATTCCTGCCTTGTTAACAATTCTGCGTAAGGCTTCCGATGTTCCTTCCTTGTATGGAATTACTACTGATGATTTAGATTTCTTATTATTGGTGTCGTCATTAATATTATTATTATTATCACTATTATTATTAACATTATTATTATTATCACTATCGCTACTATCATTATTTATTTTATTTTTACATTTCCTTACATATTTCTTGATTAATTTATCTGGGTAATTATTAAGTTTCAAAGCTTCTTTTATGTGTATCAGTTCCTGTTTTAGATTTTCTTTGGTACTACTTAGTTTTTGTGCTCTGTCATTTAAACATTTCACCAATCCTATTTTTAATGACATAGGATGGGACGATCGGAAGTCTAAATATCTGTTTGAGTGTGTGGGTTTCCTGTAAACACTAGTGTTTAACTTCCCATCTTCTTTCCTCTTTACGTTGCAATCTAACATTGGGAGCTCCCCTTCCTGATTTTCCAATTCATAAGTGAATTGAATTGCTTCCACCTTCGAGTTTATGTGTTCGAAAAACCTATCTATATCTTGTGTTTTAAGTACAGTGAATGTGTCATCGACATACCTCCACCATACTTTTGGGGTGGGGGTGAACGTTCCAATCGCTATGTTCTCCCACTTATCCATGAATATATCTGCTAAATGCGTGGCCGGCAAGCATCCTACTGCTGTGCCACCGATGCTTGGCGACCTAATGCATATTTACATCCGTAGTTAAGGTTACAAAAGCAGCCTCACTCAGGTAAACTTAGTGACAGCATATATATTATTACCTGAACGAACCAGACTAACAACTTTCGTCTAATAAATATCGGCATTGTCCATTTATGCAGAACACCTTTGTCTATTGATTAGCTGCTTTAACAGGAATTCGTATACCAGTCTACTGATCTCCACTATCTTTTCACTAATGAGCACTTTCTTTTGCTACCAATCTATATAGGTAATTTGCAGTTATACTAAGCACCATGTATTGAGCTGTGTTTAGTTGGTTGAAGCCTTCAATGCAAAAAAACCATCTCGAAATTTATTCTGTGAGAATACAGAGAATTAATCTATGCACTCACTGTTCACTAAAATCTGACCAGTGTTATGTATCCAAATGTTGTTTCTGGAGACAGAGCTACCAGTGAACAACAACCCCCCGACGAAATCAGAAGTCCTGAAGGCAATCAAGATGCTGAAAGCTGGAAAAGCAGCAGGACCAGATGGAATCACCGCAGAAGCATTGAAAATGGACCCAGAAAAATCAGCGGACTTGATGACACCACTTCTGGAAAAGGTGTAGAAAGAGGGCAAGGTGCCTGAGGATTGATGGAAAGGCTACTTATTCAAACTGCCAAAGAAAAGAGACTTAAGTCAATGCAAGAACTGGCGCGGAATTATGCTCCTGTCTATCCCAAGCAAAATAATAAGCCGTATCATCCTGGAGAGAATCAGACAAGCTCTGGATGAAAAACTTCGACCGGAACATGCTGGGTTCAGGAGGAACAAGTCATGCATTGATCAGATCGCCACATTACGGATCATCATTGAACAAAGCTTGGAATGGCAGTCACCTCTCTATCTCAACTACATCGACTTTGAAAAGGCCGTCGATAGCGCAGCGTCGATCGAAAGGTGCTTTGGAAAGTACTTCGCTACTACGGGGTGCCACCGACAATTATACATCTCATCCAACAGCTGTACGACAATGCTGCATGCCAAGTAATCCACAACGGGAAACTTACGGAATCCTTCGAAGTGAGGACAGGAGTAAGACAAGCTAGCTGCCTACTATCGCCAATGATTTTCCTGATTGCAGTAGACTGGATAATGCGACAAACAGTGGGCAATAAGGAAACAGGCGTAAAATGGACTCACACAAACAACTTTGAGGATCTGGATTTCGCCGATGAGGTAAATGTCTGATTTCCCACAAACTGGAAGATATGCAAGCGGAAAGCAACAAGTTGGCAGAAGAAGCATACAGAGAAGATAGGCCTTCAGGTGAACATAGAGAAAACAGACGTGGTGATGAAGATTCCTGGGCAACACCACCAACAGCAACAACAACAGACAACAATCAGCATAAATGGAAGGAACCTGAAAGAAACAACCTCTTTTACCCACCGACCTGGGAAGCATCGTTTCAACTACAGGCGGAACTGTCGAGAATATCAAAGCAAGAATCAGAAAAGCAAGACAAGCTTTCACTACTCTCAAGTCTGTGTGGAGGTCAACAGCACTCAGCATCAAAATTAAGGTCCGGGTTTTCAACTCCAATGTGAAGTCAGTGCTACTATACGGATCAGAGACTTGGCCAGTGCGTCATAAAGAGCATCTCAAACAAACTACAGACCTTCATCAACAGTTGTCTTCGCTCAATACTCAAGATTAGATGGCCAGAAAAGATCAGCAACGGGGATCTTTGGGAGCGAACCAACCCTGAAGGAATCGATTGTGAAACAAATAGGCAGGAAGAAATGGAGATGGATTGGCCATACTCTGAGAAAACCATCAAGTGACATCACTGGACAAGCCATTTCTCGAGTGGAACCTGGCCGAAAGGGAAGCGGCGAGTTGGTCGTCAGTGCGAGGGTGACTTGGAGGAGGTCATATGAAGGGGAGATGAAAGCGTGTGGGCAGACTTGGAGCCAAGTGAAGACTCTAGCAGAGAACCGAACGCAATGGAGACGTGTGGCTGAAGCCCTAAGTTCCTCTAGGAATTAAAGGAAACTATAATAATATGATAATAATAACCCAATAGTAACGGCCCCCACTGCAACAGTGAGTGACACAGTTCCGACGACATAACACTTCCTTCAGGGTTGAAGATACGTCTTGCAGCCAAAAGCCAACAAGCATGAAGTTCAGTTGGTGGGCTTTCTCTCGACTTCCCCAGACCGTTTAAAAAATTATGCACATAGTCACACGTGTTTTTTTTAGTTCATTGAATTACGACATCATTTTGACCTAGTTAAAGTAAGTGAATATTATTATGCTGAGATTATAATCAACGTAATCTGTTCATATTTAAAACTGATCATCTGATTAGAGAATATCAGGTCGGTATATAGTTCAGTCGTGTGTCAGCTCAATTGCATTTTATTGATCTGAATGACTCAAAAGGTGCTTGATTTTGCTAAAGGCTTAATGTTAACTATTGAGTAAATTAAAGTCATCTCTACGCATAAAGCATGATATTCCATAAATAAAAGTTAACTAAGAGAACTGGTGGCATAGCGGTTAGGACGCTCGCCGACCATGCACATGGTCCGGGGTTCGATTCCCGGTCGACGCACTCCTTTACCTCGCTAAACCAGAAATAATGCTGGTGAAGAGGAAAGGTTGGGCATGAGGCTAGCAACCCCATCCTGTAAAAATAAACACTGCTACCGAAACTCCAAGCCTCTAGCTTGAAGCCCTATGTTCCACTGGGAACGTGAAGGAATGAAAAAAAAGAGAACTGGATAGTATTTCTTTTTCGTAACCTGTCTACTGAAGTGAAACTAACTTTACTATTGATTAATTTTGCTG